TTGGTGTATCTGTTGATGTTTGTCTTGTGCCCCAGTATGTGATCGATCCTGGAGAATGATCCGTGTGCGCTTGAGAAAAATGTGTACTCCGTTTTTTTGTGGTTTAGTGTTCTATAGATGTCTGTTAAGCCCAATTGCTCTAGGTCCTTATTTAGAGCTTTGGTTTCTTTACTTATTTTTTGTCTTGTTGATCTATCCATTGTTGATAGTGGTGTGTTGAAGTCTCCCACTACGTATGTGTTTTCTCTGATGTCTGTTTTCAGAGAGGATAACAGTTGTCTGATATATTTTGGTGCTCCTTCGTTTGGTGAGTATATGTTAATGAGTGTTATTTCTTCTTGAAGTATTGTCCCCTTGATCATAATGTAGTGACCATTGGGGTCTCTTTTTATCTTTTTGAGTTTGAAATCTGTTTTATCTGATATAAGTATAGCTGTTCCTGCTTTCTTTTTTGGTCCATTTGCTTGAAGGATTGTTTTCCATCCTTTAACTTTGAGCCTATTTTTATCTTTTGTAGCTAAATGTGTTTCCTGGAGACAGCAAAAGGTTGGGTTTTGTTTCTTAATCCAGGCTGCAACTCTGTGTCTTTTTATTGAAGAATTTAGTCCATTTACATTTAGAGTTAATATTGATATGTTAACATCTGTATTTGCCATTGTGTTTGTCTTTCCTTTGATTTTATTTATTTATTCTTTTAATAACTTTTTTTTTTTTTTTTGGCCTTCTTTCATTGTTATTCGTCCCTCTGAGGTTCTGGCTTTAGGACTCCTTGTAGTATTTTTTGGAGTGGGGGTTTAGTTGCAATGAAATTCCGGAGTTTCTGTTTGTCTGGGAAAGTCCATATTCTTTCTTCAAAGAGGAAGGAGAGCTTTGCGGGATAGAGTATTCTTGGTTGGCATCTGTTTTCTTGGAGTCTGTTGACTATGTCCCTCCACTCTCTCCTTGCCCGTAGTGTTTCTTCGGAGAAGTCTGATGTCAGCCTGATTGGCTTTCCTTTGAATGTTATCTGTTTCTTCCCTCTTGCCAGCTTCATTATTTTTTCCTTGTCCTGGATTCTTGGGAGCTTTACTATTATGTGTCTTGCTGTATTTTTCCTTTCGTCGTGGAAGTTTGGTGTTCTTCTTGCTTCTTGTATATCAATTTTCAGCTCCTCCTTCACATTTGGGAAGTTCTCTTCAATTATCTCTTTGAATATTTTCTCTGTTCCTACTTCTCTCTCCTCTCCTTCTGGTATTCCTATAACTCTTATATTTCCTTTCCTCATGGAGTCAGATAGTTCCCGAAGTCTTTCTTCATTCTTTTTCCTTCGTACTTCTCTTTCCTTTTCTGTTTTGGTTCTTTTTATTTCTGTGTCTTCAAGAGTACTTATTCGTTGTTCCATTTCATCAATTCTGCTTTCATTGCTTTTCCCAGAATTCTTTAGTTCTTCCATTAATTCTTTGATCTCCTGCATTTCTTTTACTTCCCTCTTTAGGGACTCAATTTCATTCTTCTGATCGTTGATTATTTTTCCCTTATCATTGTTTTCCTTTATGACTTCTGTCAGTTTTTTAATCACGGCAATTTTAAATTCTCTTTCTGGAAGGCTCAGAAGTTCTTCCAAGTTACTGTCGTTGCCATCTGGGGGCTGGTTTTCTTTTTGTGGTGTGCTTTTTCTCTGGAGAGTTGCTAAGTTGCGTGTGGTTCTTCTCCTCCCTACAGTCTGTTTTCTAATTTGCCGTATGCGTTGGGACACTGTCTACACAATTATTTTTGATTACACAGAACAGCATTCTTTAAGCTAGCTTTTCTTGTTTTGTTCCCAAGACCACAAATTATCAGAAAGCATTAATATTTAACTACTGCTACATTTTTCTTTTAGTGATCACAAACAATACATTCTCTATGTAAGCATTTTAATTTTTGTGGTGTTGTCTCATGTGAGAAGTATTATGATTATTTTGAAACTACTATTGCCACACACTATTTTCTTTATCATGCATTTCCTGAAACTGATTGCACACAAAATAGAAAAAGTAAAGTAGGTAAGAAAATAGTATAATTATAGACTGGTTGCTATGTTGCTTCTTATGCAGGAATAATGACCAACTGGTTAATAGTTAAACCATTTTGTTGGTGACTCCATCAGGCAGCAGCCATGTTCTCAGCCAAAAGAAGGGGTTTTTTTTACTGCGGCCTTAACGCCTGGATTAGGCTTGCAGGCCTTTAAACACTTGTCTGATTTGAACGCCAAAGATTATTATAATGAAGCCCCTCAGGGACTGCGCCTGTCTTAGGTCTTCAGGAGTCACAGACATATGGCTGGCCAGTGCCTTCTTTAGTCTGCCCCTGATCTTACCCGTCATTGACTGTCCAGTCCAGCGCACAGGGGAAGGGGGTTTTAATTACTCAGATTTACTATGTGTCCGAGTGAAAGCCTCCCTCTTTCCAGTAAGTTCACTGGCGGTTAGCGGCAGAGGCAGCCGCATATCTGGTTTTATTTATTCCCTCTACCTGCTTGTTATTAGGCTCTGGATTTTTTCCATCAGGTTCATCCTATTTGGTTGAGCCTTGGCCTTGGGGGGCATTAAGCCCTTGAGCCCCCATGCATGAGTGTGTTTCAGCTTATCAGGCCTTTTGGGAACAGGAGAGCAAGGGCAATGGGCAGTTTTGAGAGTCAGAAGGAGAAATGAGATTTACATGTGAAATAAAGAGAGGGAGAAGAGAATAAAATGATTAATTTTCCCACTTTGAAATTTAGCCATGGGTCAATCTTCCTTTGAGGCCCAACCCTGAGATGCTGGCAATATCCAAAGGCACGGCATGGGGCCAGGACTGAGAGCTTGCTTCCCTCCACTCCAGACATGGCAATCCCCAGACTGCTCATCCTTACTCTTAAGGCCCCCATGTGATGTTTCTAAGGGTTTTCTTTGGGCTTCACATACTATGAGGGTCTCTCCAATGCACTGTCACCCCACACAGCCTCAGCAACACTTGGCAGGCCCCAGACCCAGCCAGCCAGTGCTTGGTGCACATATCCACACACACACAGCACGCTCACTCACATCACACAGTCACACACTCACATACACCACACATACACACATCATGCAAGCATTCATGTATATCACACAACACACAGTCACATAGAATGCATGTTCAGACATCACATACAACACACAAATCATTATGCCACACACAGGCACACACACAAACACCCCATACTGCACCTCACTTTCTGTCACACACCACACATACTTCACACACTTACACACCACAGCCATACACCAATCGTCACTCACACATCACACACACACACTCTCACGCCCAGGGTCACACTCATGCCAACATTCATTCAGTCATTTATTTTGTTTTTCTCTCTCCAAGGCTATCCCAGGCCTTGTGCCCAGCAAATGTGAGAGCCCAACTGTGTCACAGCTGCAGGGCACTGTGAAGAGTGTCCCACCGAGACAGGAGGGAGGCTGATGCCCGCTGAGGCCTCCAGCGCCCATACTAACCAGAGGCCCAACGCTGCCTATAGACGCCCTGGCCCAGCTGGTGCTTGGAGGAAATTATAGCTACAGCTGCTCTGGGCTGGCCAGACCCCCATGGTGTAGGCAGGCAGACTATGCACCCCATGCACTCACTTCCTCTATGCCCCACACTTCCTCTGCACCTGTTTTGAGCCTCACATTCTACTTCAATAGCAGATGCTGTTTTGTATGTTGACAAGTGGTGGGCAGGGCCAGTGGAAAGGAGCGTGCTCAGAAACGCAGAGGAGCCTGAAGTTTCTATCAGTCATGCCCTCCCAGAAAGGGCATAAGAGGCTGCAGCACCTCGAGCTGGGGAGCCTAGGAACCAGCCTATGATGTAACATCCAGGCATGAAGTCTTGGGACACCTCCAATGAGTAACAACCCGCACAGCTCCATTGTAAAGGGCTCTTAGAGTGCTTCCACATTCATGGTTCCTACTGAGTTTCATGGATGTCCTGCAAGGCAGGCAAAGCAGGACCCATCCATCATTCATCAATGTAAAGACCAAGGCCCAAAGCTAGAAAGTGCCAAGTCAGGACAGGATCCAGTTCTTCTTTCTGGAATCCAAAGTTCTTTCCATGACACCTCGTGGCTGATTGTCTCAGCGTCTTTCTTCCCCACCACTGAGCTTCACTCCTCCCTTCTCTACACCCCAAAGGATGGCCCTGGTAGGCCAACAGGACACTGGCAGAGCTGCTGTGTGATCTGTCACACTCTGCTCTTGGACTGCTCCTGTAATGACTGAACAGTGGCCCGGGTCCCTGTCAGTGGGCAGCACCTTAGGCAGATAGTGGGGAGAGATATGAAGAGGCCAATCTGAAGTGCTGGACAAGTTGGGGTGACAGCTCAGGAGAGATGTCCTGAAGGAGGAAATGCCAGGGATTGTCTACTTACATCTTCACCTTGTACATAAAAAGAAGGATCAGAGAAAGGTAGAGGGTAACTCATATCAACTATTAGTGTCCTGCATGGTGGGTGCTCAAATGAGTACATTGGTGGCTGGCAATGGTTACAACAAACGGCATCTTCTGCCTTCAAACCCAACTTCTGTCCAGGCAACCATCCTCAGATGGAGAAATCTGTGATGAGTCTCCTTTTTCCTGGAGACAAGGTTAAAGTAAATGACTCAGACTCAGCAGTCAGGGAATATACATAAAGCATGGGAGGTCAAAGAAATACTAAACCTGCTGATTTCTAACAGTTTGAAGTAACCATCTTGAGTACCTCAAACACTGGCAACCCATTCTGAACCCATGTTTTCTCAACCTGACTTCCGCTGTGGTTTATCGGTAGTTTCTTTTTTGGGCTATCAAAACAAGTTATAATCAAGACAGGTTGTATTTCCTCATTTTCAAGCCTTTCTATCTGTAAGGGCCAGAAATCTCTTTGAAACAATCAGCAGATTGCGACAGGCCCCTGGGCAAGCAGTGGATCTCTGCCCCTGTTTCCCGGGGCTCCTGGATGTAACCCTGCTCTGGAAGAAGCCATGAAACTGTGGCTTTGGTTGCTTTACTTCTTGCCAGGTAAGTGCAGTGGGGAAACACCTCAGATGTCTTATGGGGTTCGAAATGGCCACGAGTAGGGGAATTGTTCCTATAAGGACACTTTTTTTTTATGTATTCTGGCTTTCTTCATGATAACTCGAATATGGAAGAAAACAAATGTCTGTTGAGTTGAAGATGGAAAACCCTAAGAGTCTGAGGGAATCTAGTTTTAATGAAATGTTACTCTGAGAGGCAGAGTGCGAGCACTGAAGATGGCTAACTAAACTTAGACTGAGAGGGAGTGGGGTAGGTGGGAGTGAATTGTTCCACTACCACAATGCACCATTCCAGCCAGGCCAAAGGGGTCCCTGCTCTGGGCTCAGGCATTCACCATTTGTGCCCAAACCCAGGGGGCAATGAGTTTAAGGCTCAAGAGGATCTGCCTGCCTCAATCCCACACCCACACCCCCACTTCTGGACCTTTAACTCCTTATCCAAATGACTCCAGTTCCACTTTCAAAGGCTACATGAGCCTCATGCTGGGTCTTCTATCCTGGGGTGACCCTTAGGCCTATCAAAGGGTGGCCACCAGTGACTAGATGGTAAGGAGATAGATGGAACTTGTACCTGAAAACTGGAAAATCCACCATGTATGCATCAGGGCCCTGTGGAATGTGCAGAAGCCAGGGATAGGGAAGGAGAGTGAGGCCAAAGGCAAGTAGTGTGAGGCCGTTTTCCTCGACATTGCCATGTTTTAGTATGAACAGCCAAGGAAGATGTGAATTTGTCAGGATAGTTTAGAACATATTTTATTCAACAGTTTAGTTTAAGTTGATTTATAACTTTAAAGTATTTAGATATATAGTATTTGGTCCAATATTGGCGCTATTGCCCCAAATCCTACAAATGTTGGGGTGGTCCTGATTCTCACGGGCCCAGTGCATGACGGACACATGGAAAACCACGTTGCTGGAAATTCTCTGTGGAGTTCCACAATAAGGAAATACCACATCACATGATGTAAGCTTTTGAGCCATTTTACCTCAACCCATAACAACATAGACATACACTTGATCCTGAAATTTTTGATTCTTGATTCTTTCCGGTGGGGATGAGTTTTGAGCCTCAGCAGTTGGATGGATGCTGGTGTTATTTTCTGTTGGGCAGAGCATGTGAAAGAACAGGTTTAGAAGATAAATCAAGAGTTCTCCTTTTTCCATTGTAAGCTTGAAATACACCTCATATATTCAAGTAGAGTCCCAGTACAGACAAACATCAGAGAGGCAGGTAAAGATAAGATTGGAGAGACATGTTTTGGGAAAATACATATATAGTGCTGGCATTGAAAGCCATGGGAATAAATGAGTTAGTGTGGGGAGAGAATAAGGAAGGCCAGAGAAAAGAACAGGCCCACGTTCCAAGCCCGAGGGTGGTCCAACCTTGTGAGGGGGTAGAGAAGGAAAAGTAAATACGGAGATTGAAGGGACTGGCCATTGAGACTTCTGTGCTGGGGAAACCAAGAGATGAAAGTATTTCAAGGTGAGAGGGTCCAGTTACTGGCTGCAGAGAGGGCAAGTAAGATGAAGAGAGAGAAGTGAGCATCAAACTTGACAACAAAGAATGTTTTAGTAACCTTTACCAGATCAGTTTCAGTGGAATGTCAGGGACAAAATTCTGACAGGTATAGGTGAAAGAGAATTGGGACTGCATGACAGTGGTTTGGCGATATTCCAAGGTCTGGTTGAGAAAGAGAACAGAGAAGAGGGATGGCCACTGAAGGAGAGGTAAAAGGTCAACCGAGGGGGCTTTCAATAAGGGGGATCCCAGGGTACACATGCAATCCAGGGCGATGCCAGAAAAGACAACCGGTAATGTGAGGACAGAAAAAAGGTGATTACAGAAGAGAAGTTCCAAAGAAGGTGAGCAGTGTGGGTGCAGGATACAAGCGGAAGGACTGGCCTTCCTTCATTGTGATAGAGTAAAGGGCTGGCAGCAGCCTGGACACACTGAGTTAGCATATATGGAAGAGGGGCATTGAGTAAGATGCTCCTTATTCTTTTTTAAAAAACCCACACTTCATTTAAAAAACATGAAAATATCAGACTTTCTTTCCTGAGAGTCTATTACTTCAGATGATAAAGCCACTGCTCTCCAGAGCACCACCATCAGCCATACAGTCTTGCACCTTATTTTGCATTATGAAAATTAAGGGGGTTTCCCCATGTTCCAAATGTATATTTACATCCAATTATATATCAAGAGTCTGACTTTTAAAACTCTCTCTATATATATATATCCCCCTACCCTGCCATCACCACTGAAAATCAAGTCAGTAGTTCAGAGATTAATGTCACCTCTTGAAAATAACAATATTAATCAGTTTAGTTTCATTAGAAAATTTCTCCCACCCCTTGCTTTCTTCACCAGAATTGTTTGTGAATGTAGTTATAGAGCCTAGAATTGCAAAAATTTAAGGGCACCTGGAATGTTTGTTTTAAATGCTGGTTCCTAGGCCCCACCCTTTAAAGATGTAATCACCATGCACAGGGTAGAACTAGGTCACCAGCATCTTAGCTAGCTGTATGCACACAGGGCTATTTCAGACTTCTAAATCAGGAAGTTCTGTCTATCTTTTCTTAGTTCGGTTAATCTGCTTTTTATGTCTTGGGAACAGGTTAGAACCTACTATAAAATCCAAGGAGAGTTGGGGTCTGTTCATTTTCACATAGCCAACCAATCTTTCCTTGTAGACCAGAGCCCAGTGTCTCCAGCAGCTTCATTGTGCTTTATCCATTCAGTATTTGCAAGGTGAGGATGTCTAGCTTGGACTGCTATAACAAAATACCATAGAGTATATGGCTTAAGCAACAGATTTATTTCTTACCATTCTAGGAGATAGAAGTTCTAAGATCTAGGAGCCAACAAATGGGGTGGGAGTTGAGGGGGGGGGGGGACTCTTCCTAGCTTGAAGATGGCCTCCATCTCCCTCTGTGCTCACATGGGCTTTTCTTGTGCCCATTGAGAAAACAGGGACACTAACCTCATTATGAAGGCTCCACCCTCCTGACTTCATCTAACCCAATTACCATTTAAAGTTCCCACCTCCTAATACGGCTTCAACAAATGAATTGTGGAGGAAAAAAAAAAAACAGGATCTGGGCAAGCCAGTTTTACCAGGAAGTCTGAGGAAGAGACTGGAGTTGTCTGCAGTGGTGATGATCCCCCTCTGCTCTGTCTCGTCCCTGTCCATTTTAGAAGATCTTGCTCTTGGGAAAACAACTTTCACACACACCCCTTTCTCATTAGTATGGTTTAAAAACATTTGAGTGTTCACTGTCCAGAATGAGCTTAACACTCAGGTGTGGGATGTCTGGATACATCAGATGATTCCCACACCCCTTTGATGGGGTCTTTGTCCTTGGAACAGGTCATCCTTCCATTAGCACATTCCAATCAGGAGGCTCTCACACATCAGAGTTTCTGATGATTTACAGCTCTGAGGGTTTCCATGTCAGATCATGCATCTCTGACTGGCACCTCTCTCCATCAGTTTAACAGCAGCTATGCATTTAGGTTTTAGCATGCTCCTGTAAGTGCTTCCCTTCAGCCCCTTCTTTACTCCTATCTCACACTCCACATGGTTTCTACCACTCACTGTTGTCCACATTCCTCCCTGCCCAGAACATCTTCAAGTCTCTCTGCTCACCCAGAACCTTCAAGTTTACTTCTTATCCTGACTCCCATTATTTAGCTCAGCTTCTTGGAGATATTCATAATGGTGCTCTGTGGATGAATTTTAGGAAGTTGGTGAACTTCTCTCCACCCCATACACACACTATGCCCTGCAAACCCTCTTCCCAAAAATATGCGGACACTTAACAGGGCTCACACAGCTGAGAGCTATACACACTCTCACCCTCTACTCCAGCAGCCTCAACTGCAGTAAATCTGCCTTTCCTTGGTTAAAACATAAGCTTTTTAATGTCAGGGATTCACAGAATACATTGTACTGTCCCTGCTTGCTCCACAGCCCCCACTCGTATTTTCTGTACAAATACATTCACGTGTGCCCTCGCTGTCCCTCCTACGTCCCTTGCCTCAGTGAAGAGCATCATCATTCCTCAGTTGCCCTTTATGCCAAAATCCTTTAGGTCAGAGCTTAGATATCATTTCTTCTAGAAAGTCTTCCTCAAATGACAACATCCCTCTGCCACAGCCTGGGTCAGGTTGCCTCCAAGAGACCCTGTGTGTCTCTGCCATGGGGTTGACTGTGCTGCTGAGCGGCCATTCACATGTTACACACTGAGTGCCTTGCTCTGTGGGGGGAGGTTGCCAGCTGTGTTACTCTTACATGAAGGACAGTCAGCACTTGCTGAATGGCTGAGTTCATTCAGCTGGGGAGTGGTTATTCTGGCTGTACAGATATGAGCAAAACCAAATTAAAAAGGAAAACCTGTTACAGCAGAACCACACCATGCCTCCTAACACATTGAAGTCACTTGGGAGTCACATACTTCTTTGAGTCACCATGGCACATCACCTCTCCTTACAGTGGGACAGTAGTCTTAACTATATTGGGGGATCTTTTGGTGTCTGGGTCACATAGGTTTGGTGATGAGGCTGAGAGTTTCATTAAGGTTTGGCTGAGATTCAGTTCTGGGCATACTCCTGGGAATGAACACAGAGCGAGACTAAAGCTGTAAATGGGGTTGGATGAGGGGAGTGTAAGAGACCAGTTTCATGCAAGGGCTGGCTGAGGCTTAAGCTGATAATGGAAATAGGACTCATTCTGGGGATGATCATTAGACTGGACTGGCTCCTGGGCTGTGTTTGGAAAGAGGATTCGAGTTGGGGACGTGGCTGGTGTTGGTCTCTAGCTGCGGATGGCACATCCTCTACATTAATTTCCTCTTCCTACAGTTTCTGGGGCTCTGAGGTTCCTCCCAGAAATGAAGCTGGAGGGTATTCTGGGTGGATCCATTACCATCGAGTGCCCGCTTCCTAAAACATACATGCGGATATATCTGTGCCGGAAGATGACTGACTCTAGAATATGTGCTACTGTGATTTCCAACCAGAACTTTGTCAAGAAGGAATACAAGAGACGAGTCTCCCTGAAATATTGTCCAAACAAGAATGTGTACCTAGTTGAGGTGACAAATCTGGCCAAGAGTGACAGTGGCATCTATGCATGTGGAGCAGGCCAGAAAACAGACCGGGGCAGGACCCAGCAAGTCATCCTGAATGTCCGCAGTGGTAGGTGCCCCACCTGACGGAGACTCAGCCCACCCAGGAAATGTTTCCTCCAACAAAAGTGGGATTAACCATGAAACAGACGCTGAAGCTACTGCCAGTTCAATAATAACTGGGATTTTTGTAGCTGACACTAAATAGACAATTAACTTCATGGTCCCCAGAATGTTATATGTAAATTTTAAGAAAGCAACAAGATAGTTTCTCTCCTTATATTGGATTATATGCATCTGACTAGGGAACAAGGGGGTGGGTTTTGAGCTTAACACGAGGCTCTGAGACTAAAGGAAATTGGAAGTAAAAGGAAATAACTGTCTCACAAGTATATAGGAAAGACACTCATTTTTCAAGCCACATTTACAGGTCAAACTTGTTACTTTGTAATCTGATACTTTCCTTTTATTTCTTAAGTTCTATCTTTTTCCTTTTCTCCAACAAATTCTTCTCATATATGTGGCACTAATTCAACAGCCTAGAATCCCAGGGGCCTCTGATAGTTTTCTTTTTTTTTGTTGTTTGTTTGTTTTTGTTATTTATTTATTTATTTGTTTATTTGTTTGTTTGTTTGTTTGTTTATACAAGCACTGGGTACAGTCAGAAGCACCAGAGGGTGAGAGAATTCACCAGAGCCAGAGCGGGGAGCAGAACAGGCAGACTGACGAAGTACACTGCTGAGGGGAGCAGCGGACGAGACAGGAGAGGTCTGCGCGCCATGTGGGACCCTCGCTGGGGACCTAACCGGCGCTGCAGAGGCTACGGGCAGCTTTGCAGCCCAGAGCTCAACCTCTGTGCCACCAGGGGAGGCCCACCTCTGATAGTTTTCTAGGGAAAACTGACTGTGTTAGGTTGAAAGAATATGTCTTCTAGGGAAGCCATTAGTTCAGTTCCCTTTCCCCTCTAGGTGGATCCTGCCATCATCCCCTCACTGCCATCCACCCGGGCTGAGTCAGCTGCAGCTCATAGCAACAGCCCCTTCAGGCTTCAGTCTCCTCCCGGGGCACACCAGTGTATTCCTCTTGCCTCCAACAGAGTATGCACCATTCTCAGAAGAGGAGCCAATTACTGAGCCTACACAGCGCTTTCATGAATTTCAACATATGCCAATGGCCCCATGGGTCCAGATGCCTGCACATTCCAGTTCTTCTAAGTTTATATCCAAAGGTCAGTTCACATGGGGTGAGAGTGGAAGAGTTGATGTGACATGAAAATGGAGAAGGGGGATGTGTTCAGTTCACAGACTGGCCGGCAGAGCAGAACTGAGTCTCAAGTGTGTATTACCCTGCCTTCAGCGAGATGTGATCCCTGAAAGAGGCTGTCTCCCTCCTTCAACATCATCCTACAGCCTGCTGGTTTCAGAACTTAATCGTCACCAACAGGTGGCACCACTAGTAATGACGTTGGGGCTCCAGTCACAAAATCTAGTTCTTAGGAATGATTGCAGACAACAAGGTAGTGCAGAGATTTCCCCACCAGAGGTCCTCATGCTCCCTTAGAACTGTCTCTACTGGCTAGCAGAGAGTGATTTTAACAGCTCTTTTGCTATAAAAAGATAAATCTGATGAAATTTCTGATGAAACTGATGAAACTTTTACATTGTAGAACATTTTCAATGTAATTTCAATGTAAAAATGTAATTCAATGTAATTTCCATGTAATTTCAATGTAATTCAATGTAATTTCAATGTAAAATGTAAAACATTTACATTACAATGTAAAACATTTTCCTGTTTTAAACGCATTTGGTATGCAATATTTCCATATCTTCACATCTACCCTGTGAGATAGATACATTAACTGAACATTGTTACATCAGGGGTCCCTGTAGGATGCCAAGAAGGATAAACTGAGTGCATCTTATACCCAGGTGATGGCTGGTAGGTGGGATGTGGGAGAAGAGATAAGCATATAAATTTAGCAAAGGCAGGAGCCTCCCTGGTGGTGCAAGGAGTTAAGCCGCAGTTCTATGACGCTATCTGCAGCCATTGCAGCACAAGTTTGATTCCCGGCCAGGAAGGTGACCCCATGGCACAGCAGGCCTCTCTTGTCTCTTGCTGTTCCCCTCAGCAGTGTATTTCATCAATCTACCTGTTCTATTCCTCACTCTGTCTCTGGTCACTCTGTCTCACTCCTCTCACCCCTTGCACCTCTAACTTGTACACCAGTTCTTGTATGCATAAATAAATAATTTTTTTTTAAAAAAGTATAGCAAAGGCAGAGTGGAAATTGAACTAGGAGCAATGTTTTCTCCATACTCAGAGGACAAGCTCTTCTGCCTCAAAGTCAAGGAGGGTTTCCTGGATAAAATGGTGTATGAAGCAAATAGAAGTAGAATTTACTAGGTGCAGGGGACATGGTAAGAAGTTATTTCAGGCCACCAGGACTGCAAAAACAAAGACATCCCAGTTAGAATGAATTTAAGAAAGTGATGGTAAACCAACCCTGCCGGCGAGTATATATGAAAAGTGACTTTTTCTTATTATCTCCTACAGTAACCACACCAGCTCTGAGGACCAAGGTTCCTCCAGCACCCTCCCCCTCCTCCATCATCACAACCACTCACCACCCTCAAGTTTCCAGGGCATCTTTGGTAGCAGGTACCAATCCCCCAACCGTCCTGCCATCTAACGAAGCCTTAAAGACCTCAGCTCAGAAGGGGCTGCTCAAGCCCCAGACAACCAGTGACATCCACCACCCCAAGCAGAGGTAAGAGCCCTCCGCTAGCCAGGATAGACTAGCACCCCAGCAAAGTTTCACTTTATCTCTAGAGGGCCACCATGACATATAATACCTATGAATACATGTCAGTGCCTCAGCAGGAAATCCTGTAGAAATGAGCCCCAAATCTGCCAGTCATCCAACAGTCATTCAGAAGTTTTGATAGGGAACTAAATGAGAATAAAATTAACTACGGAACTATTAACTTAAAATAACCTTCTTGTGTTTCCTTTTGCTTTTCTAATGTGGCTACCAGGAAATTTAATATTACATCTGCAGCTCACTTTCTATATTCCGATTTGCCAGCTTGGGTCTAAAGGCAGGAGAGCAAGCCAGGAAAGTGATGCAATGGGCCACTAGGGGGACAGCATCATAGCAGACTTCAAAAACACCTCAAATTGGATTTACTTTGGCTTAAGGAACCCTTTCCTCACTTCGACATCATTTGAGTCTTATAGCTAAATAAACTGAAGTCATGGGGGCTAAATGTTTTCAAGGAGAACGAGTTCTCCTGATTCCTAGTTTCAGTAAATTACACTAATCTACCAGTGGAAAAGAGTGCGCATCAATTCAAGCCACGTTGTCTTAGTCTTCACTATGTGCTGGGCACTGTGCTATCAGTATGTGCCACCTCGCCAGCGTGCACCCGCATCCTTGCTTCCGGAGGAAAACCAGGAGCAACAGGGTGCGCTCCTTCTTCCCAGGGGTCCTGGCTTAATGAGGGGGGGGGGGACTTCCTTGGCAGAAGTAACTCTTAGCATCTCAAAAACCTTGTGAGAAAACTAAGGTGCAGAAAGTAGGGAGGGCCCTAACGTTTAGTGGCTGCTGCAGCAAGTCCTCATCTCCCTTGTTTTGTTTCACCATTGGAGCGGTCCTTGTCAACCAGGTTTTCCCACACCCGTTTCCCAGGAAATGAGGCTCAGACAAGCTGGGGGGAGTGGAGGGAGGGAGGGGGCGAGAATTCTGTTCACAAAGGGACCAGCTGGGAGGCGGCTCCAAATCCGCGGGCCTGTCAAGTTGTCTCTCACCCGCCCTTCCACGCGGACCTCGGCCCGCTCCCCCTCCCCTTCCCTCCGCAGAGCCTTCCACCACGGCCACAAGTCAGGGACCGAAACCCCGAAATTTCACATACTGATCCCGACCACCCTGAGCCTGATCCTGCTGGCGGCGCTTCTGGGGCTGGTGCTGAGAAGAGTCATTCAAAGGAGGAAACGTGAGCGTTGGGCTCGCCAGGGAAAGCGAAGCTGCCCTAAGAAGCCAGAGTGATGAGATTCCCCCAGATTCTGCCCGGACAACCCCAGGCGCTTTGGACGAGCAGCGACTGGGGGGTGGGGGGGAGGACAGGGACGGGGCGGGGGCTGAGAGAAGGCCGGCAGGGGACGCGCGGCCTGGGCCCTCTCGTTCTCAGGCGGGGGCAGGGCTGTGCCCCGCGTCCTGCGCTCTCTGACGGTGAGCCCCGGGCGCAGGGACAGGGGCGGCCTGGGCTCCTTAGACCCGTGGGAGGGGGCCGCATGGCCATGCGCCTCTGACTCCATTGTCCTTCCCTCTTTCGCTGCGGTTGCACGGGCAGGTCTCGCCAGGCGGGTCTCCAGACAGGCCGTGAGAACGCGCGCCCCGGCGGCTTCCCGGCGGCCCCGGCCCCACGCGCCCCGCGCGTCCCCGCGGCCGCGCGCCCAGAACATCTACAGCGCCTGCCCTCGGAGCGCTCGCGGGGCGGATTCCGCGGGTGAGCCCGGGTGGGGTGAGCGGGCGCGGGGCTGGGGGGTCGGGGGAGGGCTGGAGGGGGCGGGGCGAGCAGGAGCGGGCAGGGCAAGTGGGCAGCAGACGCTGCGCGGGTGGGCGCGGGGAGAGGGTGAGCTCAGGCGGGGGGACAGCTAGACCAATAGGCGAACGGGCACGGGCCGAGGACCTGCTTCTGCAGAAACAGCGCGGTGGCCGACGTGCGCCCGGAGTCTTGCTTCTCCCGGAAAACCAGCTTCCGCGGGGTCCGGCTTTCCTTCCCAGGGGTTCTGGCAGGGCTGGGCGGGGAACTGGACCCCTAGAACACTTCATCACTTCGGCCTCCCTTGTCCCCCTTAGTTACGCCGGAGGTACCTCTCCCCGGTCCCGGAGATTTGGCGCCCCCGACCCCACCGCAGGTAAGCTCCGCGGTGCCCCTGATTGGCAACCGCGGCCGGAATGGCCGACCCGAGACCCTGGTGAGAGCTGGACTCTTATCCGGAGGCAGCTTGGCGAGGGCACGGGCTTGCCCCGCAGCAGCCAGGCCTGGAGTGGGGAACAGGTTGTATCAGCTTCTGTCTTTGATGGTGTCGGTAGACTGACTCCCCAACAGCTGTGGTAGGTTTAGTTAGTTGTGTAACTTTCGCCCAGCATTTCTTAGATCAATGAGTGTTTAGTAGGGTTGATAGATGGTCACTCGGAAAATATGTGGAGGATGTTCAGGTGGAAGAGATTCTAGGTCTAGAAGGTCTTGAGGTGTTGGCAGCTACCCAACCTCACCTGAATATGAGGAAGAGCTTCCGAGTAAACTTTAATATGAGAGGAGGGGATTTACTCACGAGTGGAAGCGTGTCAGCCTGGCAGATGTTAGGGTGTGGACAGGATTCCACACCATGGGGAGGAGGTTTCCTTTGGAAATCTAGGAATGGACTAGGTGACTCATTTTTCTATCAGTGGCCATTAGCAGATGGGTAAAAAAAGCCTTTAATCTATCCATTCATCTTTGCTTTCCCAAATTAAGAAAACATTATGTTCTCTAAGGTAGCCCACACTATTACCGCAGGAGGCAGGAAAAACTAAGCTTGGCAAATATCCTTGTTTCAATGAGGATGTAGACTAAGCAAATGCAACAGACCCTAAAACAATGGATGGAAATTTATTTTCCTCTCAAGTAAAGGTGGGGGGTGGGGGCAGAACGAGGTGGCCTGAGCCATAAGGTCATCCAGGCGCTCAGGGGCTTTCCCATTGCTCCACCAACCCGAGTCTTGCCTAGGTCATAGTCAGTGCTCAGTCCGCAGGACCAGCCTGCCTTCCACCACACAGGAGAGAGGGAGAAGGTGACCACGACCCTAAAATTTCACACAGCACTTCCACTCCTATCCCACTGGCCATAATTAATCATGTGACTAAGCATACTTATCTTCAGGGGAGGCTGAGAAATGCAGTCCCTGGAGCAATCATGTAGCGGGCTAAAAAGGGAAGTGTCATGCACAGCAATAAATAACAGCTCTGCTCCAGACACCTCCAGCCTCTTGAACTTGGCCTTGTCCCTGCCAGTAGCTTAGGTATGGCCCTGCAGTGCCCATCATTCTGCCCTTTGCTCTTGATCTTTCCTGTGACCATGCAGGCCCTCACCAAGGCCTGTCCTTGCTCATATCTTATCTTCCCTGCTTGATTGTCTCATTCCCACTATTTGATACTAAAATCTTGATGAAACAGTTTTACATGGTGGATATAATCAGTGATGAATATTTTGACATTCACAGGAAATATATTTTTAAGCCAATTAAATTGATCTCAAATGATGAGCAATGGGAGATATAGTTTTGAAACAAGCTGCTACTCAATTCTCTTTGGTAAAGTACCAAGAATAACAGTTCCTTTCAGTGACCTCTTACTGAGCACCTGCTATATGCAGGAACTGAACTTCTGGTTCTTGTGTTTAAATACATGAATGTCCCCACCTCTGCCTTCTTGTGTGAATGTTACAGTAGTTGTGCCATGTTCGGGGTCATGGGGAAGTCCTGTTCTCCAAGATGTTCCTGTGGGTTCTGTCTGGGGAAGAAGCACCGCTCACCACTGTGCCATGCACCGCCTTCCTCCCCTTCACACCCAGCCCCTTCCCAGAATGCACTGTCATGACATGGTGTGCCCTTTCTGAGCCCAATGGAAGTGCAGAGGATGATTCACTTGACTTTGAATAATTCCCTAAGAAGACACATATTTATTCCACAAGTCATGTCATACAGCCCCAGAGGGGAAATTACCCTAGTAGCTGGGTCTCCTTCAGACCTATGCTTAGCCACGTGACTTTGGTCTGAGCATCTCCTGCCCATGTTATATCTTAGTGTTTTCCCGTTGTCTATGTAAGACACCTCCCTGAAAATCTCCAGAGCTGAGCCACTTGATGAATCTCAACCACCCCTGTGTCTTTGAAGTCAGCAACCATACACATGCCCCATTCCCTCTGTGGAAATCCGCCTGGTGAGAAGCTAAAACCCTGTTTTGGTTCTTCCCAGGTATCTGTAACTTCCTGGTTCCATGCCCCATCTCTGAAGACCAGCAATGAATACATGAGCATCCACCACCAGCGTGCCGGCAAGGTGGGGGACACTGACCCAGATGACTACGTCAATTTTCCCTGCTGACTCACCTCTCTGGCTGATACCCTGGGCCCAGACCTTGATGCAGTGAGCCTCATCTGCCTGCTGGTTTCCAATACCTGCTCCTCCTTCTGGTTTTAGAGCCTCCCACATCCCACCTCCAGTATCTTCCTGTCTCCCCTGAGCATAGGTCATGCCCCCCAATACTTCTTGTACACCTTTGTAGTGTCCTGTGGTTTTCTGGTGAACTCTGACATGCAGAGAATGTGTCCCAGTGTTACCTACTTCCTTTCCAAGTCTTGGCAATGGGGTTTTCACAGTATCTGTAAGTACAGTGTCCTTGTTGCCCTGGCTCTAGACCAAGTGACTTAGGACTGGAGCAGAGGCTTCGCTGTTGTTTCAGGAGCCCTTCCCAGGCTTGGGCCTCACCCATTGAAGGTGCCTGGGCTGCACCCTGAGGACATGCCTCAGCTCCGTGAGCTAGGAAGGACCTGATATAAAACAGAAGGAGGAGATTTTTTTGCCCTGACCTTAAAGCTGGCACTTTACCAGTGAGCATCTATAATCTCATGTCATCTGCTAAGAACAATTTATTTTGATGTGATGAAGGGTTCTACATTTTTGGAACCATGGTGGTTAGGATTCATGATACATATAAATCTCCCTCTTTGTATAATATATATAAAAATCCTCCCTTGATGCACATAAGTATTCTGGCCCCCAGGATAGCCCCTCTTTAGAAATTGTTTTTTTTCATCACTTTATCCTTTTTCAATAACCTAGCACTGATATTTGTGTACTTAACATTGGTCAAAACTATTAACATCTCTTTGTTTTCATCTCTTTGCCAGATCCAGGTAACTTATGGCAAAGTAACTTATGGAAAGTACATGACCTGGGATTCCTTGAGGCCCAGGGTTTCTGCATTAGCACTTATGAGATAGAAGAAGAAACATCAACCTCCCATATATATTTTAAAGTTTTTTCAGCTAGACGTAAGCTGACATATCTTTGGATCAAAGTTAACTACAAAGTTCAGCTAGCGCTTGAGACTAGAGAATCCCCAGTCTTACTATTGAATAGAAGGCTTTTCCCGGACATACAATTCAGCTTCACTGGACACTTGTCTGTGGATGGCGAGACTGCCAGACTTGAGGTCCCTGCCTTGTATTAGCAAGGAACCCATCACAAATTGAACAGTACATCCAGGGCAACACCATCGGCCACGTGAGCTTGACACTGGCAGATGATGGAAGAAAGAGTAGGATGAGAAAGGGGGGCTTCCAAGCTGAGGGGATGTGGGAGTAGGTGGGGACTGCAATGTTTAGAGAGCCTGCTTTTTGCTGTGCACTGATCTACATTATATCTTTTTTCATTTCACTCTTTCACCACTCCTATGCTTTGTTCTTGCAGATTTCATGACAGTGTTATTTCCATGCTCTTAAGTTCAACTTCATATCCCAGCACCCACCATTGTTCTTCAACAATTCAAAAACACGCAAAAAAATAAAAATCCAGTTTATTAAACATTTGCCAGCCTGGTTGCTAGCATGATGGAGGATGAAAGAGAAGCATGGGGCACCGTCGCTGCTGCCTGTACAGAACTGTCTCAGAAATAAATACAGCATCAATTAAAACATGGACAATAATTAGAGTTGTAATAAATACAGGAATTCACTCTGTAGATTATTCACAGCATCCGAGGGATGACTGACCTTGGGGCCAATTGAAGAATGATGACTTTGAGGATAAGTCTAAAGCCTAGAGTAGGATGAATGGTCAAGGGTATGAAGATAATAATATCAAAGGAAGAGACGCACATTTGAAATGATATGGAGATGAGGAGGGTATCCTGGTCTGGGTACTTAGAGCTGGGAGAATTTCTTCATCCAGGTTAAGAGAATGACCACTTCTCCGAAGGCGTTGGTCAGAACTGTGCCTTTGTCCAACCAGAAGGAAAGGAGAATTGAAAAGTCTCCCATCTGAGCACCCAGAATAGGTCTCCTTCTCACCCACCACTTCCAAACTGGCTTGATTCCAAATCATGGGCTGCCAATTTGGGGATAGCCTCTGATGAGCTCATCCACCCCATACTTGTCCCCCATCTATGTGTGTTGTCTGTTTCAGGAATGAGAACAGATGGAGTGGACAGCAGCCCGTAAGGAGCAAGGGGAAACTGTATGGTGCAGAGTTCCAGGCAGGGTGGATCTGGTCACCTCCTGAGACCACTGTGCGCATGTGGACACGCAGGCCCAGTGGCCCCTTTCCATTCTGTGTTATGCACCATTATTTATAGGCTGATAGATCTAGTCCTCAAAAACAGTGATCAAGATGTTTTAGAGAGAGCTAATTTGAGGGTGAAATTGGGGTTTTCTTCATTGTTCTAATTTGTGTGTGTGTGTGTATACAAGCACACCTATATGTGTGTGTGTATATATATATATATATATATATAATTTCCCACAACTTTTTCTTCTACCAACTAGGCCGTCTGAGCATTATGGAAGACCCTGCAGATGGGGTTCAGGGCTCCCTTCTTTCTCTCTCACTTCTGACTCTTTATTGCCCAGCTCAAGTAACCATCAAACTCTTTCACAGTAAAGTGCCCTGTAGTGAAATCATTTGAAATCATTTGTAGAGCAATGCAGTCACATTTTGACTTGAAAACTGGCAGAAAAATAGGCCATGTTGTTTGTGGGGCTTATGCAAACATATGCTAATTGTTTGCACTCATCAATTTGCTAATTGATGCAAATATCCCTTTGCTCCTGCTATGTCAGGTGGCTTTGGACAAGCCTGATAGAGTCGTCGTCGTCGTCGTCCCCCCCCCCGCCCCCCCCCCCCCACTGAAGTCGTGATAGTCAAGGCTTGTCTACTGCTGGGTTGGACAAACTCAGCTGCTGGCCTGGATTACCTATTTAAACGGTCCCTGGCATGGTAGAAACTGCCTGTGTGCATTCTCATTGACGGGAAACATCCCATTTTCCTGCTGCATAACATAAAATAAAACTGTGTCAAACATTGGGTAGGAACATAACTAAACCTCCTCCCACTCCTTCCCAGGGATGCCAGAGGGACTCCCAAGGCCTCAAAGGGCATGCCTGAGTCCTCAAAGTAGCCAATGTTGAGCTCTCACTATACGGCAGGGTCTGTCTCCTTTAATTCTCTCAGCACTCTTGCCGGGTAGGGTGGTCATCCCATTTCATAAGAAAGAAAAATGAAGCCCAGGGAGCTGGACTTTCTTGCATAGGGCCACCCAGCTACTTAAAGCAGACCTGGACTTGAGGCCAGAACTGCTGGTGCCCGGAGCCTGAATCTTACCCATTCATGTCATTTTTGGAGTTAGGAATGCAAGGTCCTTGGGTTCACTCTGGGAAAGGTATCACCAGAACTCCCCTTTCAACGGGACGCGGCGAGTTTCCCAGGCGCATTTCTCCACGAGATAGAGATGTCAGTTACAGTTAAAGAGCAGGTTTATTAGGGAAAGGGACAGAAAAGTAAGGGACACTTCATAGACACGAGCAGGTAGAAGAGCTGCCCTGAAAGGGACAGGTTTGTTAAAAGAGGTCTGCATGGGTGCAGGCGGGCGGCCTTGAGGAGAGCTGCCTCTGCTGAGGGAGCTCAGTGAAGAGAAGCCCAGGCATGGCCACAGCTCACGGGCAGGCAGGAGGCTGCTGCCCTGCAGAGGGACAGAGAGTTGGTGAAAAGGAGCACCTGCATAGTCACAGGCCGGCAGGAAGGCAGGAAGACTGCTGCTCCCCCACCCCCGCCAGTGCAGAGAGTGACTGATATAGTCCTCTTCTCTTTGGGAGGGGCTCTCACACCTTTGTGGAGTGGCCTGTTTGCTGCTGGTTTTGGATAACTATGAAGAATCTGAAAGGAACTGGAGATTCCACAATGGGCCCAATCTCTTTATCTTTACCCTCAGGTCTGTGCTCCACTCCCTATAGCATCTGATCCTGCTTGGGTCTTATGCCTTGAGATAAGGCCCTGGCACCTAAGGATCTTGATCTCTACAGCTGGGTTAATGGTCATGTTACTTCCCTTGACACCCATCTCCTCATGTGAGTCAGGTTTCTGGTCTTATGGCACCTCCTTTCCAGTTTTCTATTCTTTCCTCCATCACCATGACACCCACGACTCTGTCATGGAGTGGGAGCTGAGGAAGGGGAGCATGCTCATTTCCCGTTGGCCCAGGGCCAGTTTTGTTCTCACAGTGGGTTACAGTTTTGACATGATGACAATAAAGTTATTGGCCAGAATAGAGAATGACTTCAGGCTCCTGAATTCAACTGCCTTATCAAAGCAGATTTTGGAAACAGTATTCAGGGCATGGACAGTATTTAGTAGGGCATGGAAAAGGTAACAGCTTACTTCATGCTGGGAAAGGTCATGGTCACTGTGGAGCTGAGGCCTGTGTCCACTCAGCCCCCACATGTCACACAAGGCAAGATAAGCACAATGGAGCCAGTGATCTATAATGTTGATAATCGCTATACGTACAGGAGACTTCAGGGGCATGTAGATGGAGCCTTTGTTTTACGGGAGGAATCACAGATCCCAAGAGGAGAGACTTGCCTGTCAGTGGCAAAAACAGGCCTAGCTCCTGGGACTCCGTATTCCCATATGGTTAATGTTTTCTACCACACCGCATTACCTTTCTAATAGCTATGGGGGTGGACTATGAAATCACCCAGAACTTGATGATTGAGCATTTCCTTCTAGAAAAGACTAGAAGAGGAATAAAAGAGAAGAGAAAACTAACATCCTTGAACACAGGATGTACTCTAGGTCCTTGAGTGCCAGAATGAGACTCAGGACCTTTCAGCCTGCATAGGTTTAGTAAGAATGTGCTCACTGACTAAGTAGGTGTGTGATGAGCCAGCAATGAATGCGAAAAAAGGATAGACATGGAAGATCTCTAAGCAGATGCCCACTGGGTCACACAGCAAAAGAGAAATAAAGTGATGGCAACTCTCTAGGTAAAAACTTACTTAAGCCGAAACCCCCACCTCCGTCCTCATGATACCACACTCACGAACTACATAACCCGGACACTGGTGATGACCCCAGACATTGGTAACCTCTGCCTCACTACCCCACCCTGTCCTGTGTAGGCTGAGTCTAGCCAGAAGTGAAGCTTCCACAGACACCATCCACAGAGAAGGGGTGTGGTCCTTCCCCAAGGTCTAATTACTGATACCTTCTGCAGAACCTTCTTCCACAGCAGCTGGACACTTGTGATGTTACCCCGAGCTTCCTTTAGAAACAGAACAGATGTCTTCAGAGTGGGGGTTGACATACAAACCAAACTTACAAATATGTCCTGCTGTCCCAAACCCCTAAATCCAACCAGTCTGTGAAATCTCAGAGGCCAGAGATGCTGTGTTAGGTTGAAAGACTATTTCAGTAGGACCCAAAAAGACCTATCCAGAGCTGACCTCTGGAGTCAAGGTGTTGCCTCGAGGGGCGGCAGCGTTGGGATGGCACAGGGCAAAGTCAGCTCAAAGTCCACGTAGTGACAGAGACCTAGAGGGGATTACACCTATGGAGATGCAGCACCTATCTTCCTGGCCAGTCTCACATTTTTTGGATATCAGATTCAGGGAAGGTGAGCAAGTCCATGGAGGAATGTGTGGAGGAAAATGCGTGGTGGGGATGTGGACTGGGGATGCGTAATTGTCTGGCACAAGCTAGGGGGGTGAATTGGAGCTGTTCCTTGGGGGCTCCATTATTGCAGCTGATCAAAGCATCCTATCTCTAGTCCCTGCTTACACTTAACTTCCTGTGAAGGAGGTCTAGCTGGTTGTGCTAATCTGGCCATAATGTCTGCCTGCTATTTTCAACAGACATCCTCATACCAAGACTTTTGTCCTGGTGAGATGCCCCCTGCCTGACTCTGCATTTAGCTTGACCAGCTGCAACTCTGGGTGCCAATACAACAAGGGGGGCTGGGGAATCCACATAGAGGCACAAGTTTCTAGCCACAGAAAATCACTAAGCTTGACTCCCAGAGGCAGATGGAATCACAGGGATACAAGAAGTCTCAATGAAGAAACTGTTTGGTTCCTTTAGTCATTTGAAACAGGATGATATACAAGCCTCTTTAGTTTAAAACCATGAAGTTCAAGGCTTGCATCCATATTCTGTGGGGGGTGGGCATGGGATAAAAAGGGGGCTTGGGTGGGGTAGGGGCTGCCTCTTGCCCTTGGAGCTTCCCTGAACTCACTTGGTTCTTGGATTTAGAGCCAAAGAATCCTTGAGAGGAAGAATCTGGAGATCTCATTCATCTTCCCCCTCACTGTGCAGAAAAAGAAGACAATGGGGTAAGGTGGGGTCATCTACCAGCTGATTTCAAGGTCATGATCATGCCTAGGTGTCTGACTCCCCTCCCTCCATGCTGTTCCTCAAGCTCCCTCTTTCTGCCTTGACTCTGGATTCTTGTGGAAGGAGTCCATATGTCTGAGTGTGCACAATGGAGAACTTTCCTGCCCAGGAAAGATCCACAGCCACTTTTACAAGCTGCCTCACCCCACCAGAAGAAGCAAGGCCTAGGCAGGTGGTAACAGACTAGCAGACGCTGGCAAAGCACTAGGTGACAACTCAGTGGGTCTCAGGATTTCCCATGACTTTCCTTTGGTGGGGTTTTATGTCCCCTGGGATGTAAATGAAGCCTGAATGAGTCAGGCCTTCTTTACTCTTTATTCCTCTGGGGTTCTGTTTATTTTACTACAGCCTGACCACATCTCTCTGAGTTTCAATTTCCTCATGCACTAAATGGGGCCTGTGAGGCCTCTGATCTCAAAAAGTTATTACATAAGAAAGTGATTAACAAGCTACAGAATCATAAGACAAGATCATCCATCATGGTAACCTGCACGGCTGTGCCCAGAACAAACAATCCACTCACCACAATGTCCTTCATGGCCTGGAAGGCCTCCCACAATTCCTGGAGAACTACCCCCTCCATTTGGCAGGGTCCAAATTGGCATACTTGGCCCTGAACTGCTGACCCCTGGCTCCAATGAAGCAGGATCAGACTTAGGCAGGGGAAGCAGCCATCTTCACGGGGGGCCCCATCAGCAACAAAGAAAAACCACTGGAAGAAAGAGAGAAAGGCCAACGAAGCAGTCCTCTGACCAGGGAGCAGTACACCCTGGAGTAATACTCCTTGATTCTATGCAACAAGTCTTGGGGCCACGCGGAGGGGAAAGGTGAGACAAGGGTGGGTTCTCAGTGTTAAAATATGTGCAAATGTGTGACCTTGCTGGAATGCATGGGTGTGTCCTCTGCCTCAATCTCACACCCACTATGCAGTCTTGCTGCTCACCCTCCGCCCTCCACTACCATGTGTCCCCATCACACACACACCCTGCACCTTCTTCCTTGATCCATTTCTCTCTAGCCAACCACTTGCTGGTCAGAATTTGACCAGGAAGTATGAAAAAGTGAGTGGTTATAATGTGCCAAAGAACATACATAAGGAATCCAAACTTGGGAGTGGATAGAGAACCTAACTAGGCTTTCACATCACTGAGTGCCACCCTTAATCACCAGGCACATGTTGGCAGGTTTTTTCTCGTCCCCTAGGAGAAGGCTCTCTGACATCCCATCACAGGAAGCCAAGATATTAATCCTGGCCCATGGGGAGGGGCACCGACAGTAAGTCAGAGGCACATGCTCATTCTGCCACCTCAGCTAACCAACTCACTCTTGGTTCTGGGAATTAACTTTCCAAGTAACTGAACAATAGAAAGGAATCTCAGATGAGTCACCTTTAAAACCTTCCACTAAAGTGCCCTGGTGATGCAGGGGGTTGAGCGCCAAGCTGTGAAGCTCTTCACAGCCTCTGCCCCATGGTTCGATTCCTGTCCGGCCAGAGAAATACCCAACATGGTGCAGCAGACCTCTCCTGTCTCACCCACTGTTCCTCTCAGCAGTGTCTTTGGCCTGTCTGCCTGTTCTGCTCCCTGCTCTGTCTCTGGTGAATCCTCTCACCCTCCCATGCCTCTGGCCTGTACCCTAGCTCTTGTAAAAATAAATAAATAAATCTTTTTTTTTTTTTTTTTTTAAAGTGCCAATTAGGAATGACTGTGTGCAGAGCCCCAGGCTGGAGGAAGGTAACACTATAACTGTAGGCAGAGAATTTGCCTTCTGCTTTTCTTCCTTTCTTCTGTCCTCTGTCCCTTTCTTCCTTCTACAACCACAACCTTTCTTATTTCAGGCACTGAAATAAGACACTAGGTCTTATTGAAGACACTAGGTCTTCTACCCCTGAGCTGGACAGGATCACCAAGGTCCTGTCTTTGAAATGACTGCCATGGGCCCAAGCGGTGGTGTAGGAAAAGAGTCCATTATCCTCTGTCTTGCAGGTCTGGGCTTCAGTCTCTCCCTCAGCGCTCTTCCATTCTGTTCCCTCAGACACCACAGATGTGCAGTGTCTCTTGAAAATTCGTCTCTGGGCTTATAATATCATTACCCTTCCTTCTACCTTGCTTAAGGTCTTTTGGTGTTAAGTTGAAGAAAGCAGCTCATCATCCAGTTGTATCTAGCTCTGCATAAACCCTGAAGAGGATGACTTTACCATCCCCAGCCCACTATTGCCAAAAACGCAGCCGGCTAGTATTTCAAAGTAAGTCAGGACTTCTCCATAGCTTATCTCGTCCTTGAAATTGATGTCAATGGTTTGCTGTTTGCACATGGTTGGCTCTTCTGTGGAGGGGGAAAGTTGGGCAGACACCATGACCATTCAACAATTGGGGTGTAACTGAGTAGAAGGTTCCTGTCCCAGCTCTGAAAGTTGTTTCAAAGGTAAAGATGTGCAGGCAATGAAGGCTTTGTGGAGATTTGTGTATATGGGAGCTGGAGAGGGGGGGCTGGGGGGAGGAGGAAGAAGAGGGAAGTGGAGAAAGGGAAACTGGTCATGTTTGCCTGGAAAATTACTTCATTTCCTCTTCACCCTTCGCTTTAAGACAGTGAGGCATCGGGTGAGATGACCCCAGGATCTGACTTTGGCTCTGCCACTGCCTGTGTAGCCAGGGGAAGTCTCTTACTACCCTGAGCCTCAGTTTATGCATCTTAAAGAAAGAAAAATTGCACCAACTTCCCCCCCACCAGAGGGCAGAATGCAAAAACAACACAGAGGTGCTGTGCAGTAGTACCCCTTCATTTTAGGGGTTACTTTCCACAGTTTCAGTAACCACAATCAACCACAAGCCAAAAATACTCAGTTCACATATTCACATAACTGGTATTAAAATATATTGTTATGATTTTTCTACTTTAGTGAAGAAACAAAGACTGAGCAATTGCAACTGCCGACCTCGAGCAGCAGCTGACTTCTTCACGCGGAACCCAGGAGTCGGAGACTCAGAATCAAATCTCTTCTCCCTCCACCCTCCTGGTACAAAATGTTAGTAGAACTTTGCTGAGTGAGAATTTTTTGATATTCAGCTAAACCCCAGTGACCCCCACACCCTGGTAGCAGTGGTCCGGATGATGGAAGCTGGGGGAACCCCATCCCCACCTCCACCCACCAGCCACAGTGGGTCGGGCAGATCCCCCAACCCCCTCCAAAAGGGAGTCACGCCCACCACCACACCAGCGGTCCTATACCTAGAACAAACCGGAAAGCAAACAATGGAAAGAAAGAAAAATACTAATGGTGAACAGCACACCACAGAAAGAAAGTCAGCCTCCAGAACCCAACAACGCTGACATGGAAGAATTTCTCTTCCTGACAGATAAAGAACTCAGAATTGCTGTAATTAAAAAACCTACAGATATAGGAGAAGACACAGAAAAGGAGAAGAATGACATGAAAAATATAATCAACAAGCAGAAGAATAAAATTGAATCTTAAGAAGAAAATCATCCTATTTTATTATCTTATACTGTGTGTAATTTATGAATTAAAGTTCACCATTGGTATGTATTACTATAGAAAATCATAGTCTATATGGAGTCCACACCAGGTATCCACTGGGAATCTTGGAACATGTTCCCTGTGGATAAAGAGGAACCACTGCTCCTCTGCAGAGGACACCAGTCTCCTTATCACCAAATATTTTGATAATTTTGTCCTATTAGTGACCGTTAACCCAAGGCTAACGAAAGCTTATAAGTACTTCTTTATTCACTCAAGCACAGGAATTTTAGAAGTGTGTTCCTGACATGCAGCCTCCCATGACTTGTTCTTATGTTTATTAGAATAAGAGAGCATGTGCTTTGGCCAGATTTGGAAAATTGGGGGCCCCTGGTGGGCTAACCTTGGCCTGAGCTCCTCTGCCTGGGGTCACCATGTCATCCAGGCAGGGTGGCACATTAGGAGTACCACGCAGTGAAAAGACATGACATAGGTCCGGCTAGCAAGGAATTCAGGCTTCAGTTTCCCATTTATAAAAAAGGTGGCTAGGTCAGAGCCATATCACCAAAGTATGTGCCATGAAACCTAGTTCAGAGGAATGAATGACTGCAAGACCCCCCACAAAATGACATATTTCTTCACCAGAAGTTAGAGACACTTGGTATATGCCAGTCCACTGAAACAGACAGTGCTGGTTTGGGGCTGGGCATGGGACATGTTTAACTTTGTTTATCCCAGCATTTCCCATAAGAATTTGACAACATGGGACCTCCCTGGTGGTGCAGCGGTTGAGTGCTGGGCTGCAAACCTTCCCGCAGTCTCTGCAGCACCAGTTTGATCCCCAGCCACAGGGCGAGGGTCCCACATGGTGTGCAGACTTCTGCTGTGCCTGCTGCTCCCCTCAGCAGTGTACTTCATCAGTCTGCCTGTTCTGCTCCCTGCGCTGGCTCTGGTGAATTCTCTTACCCTCCCGTGCTTCTGACTATACCCAGTGCTTGTATAAATAAGTAAATAAATCTTTAAAAAAAAAAAAAAAAGAAGAATTTGACAACATCCCTGAGAAACACATTTTAGGAAACATTGGACTCTGAATCAGGGGTTGGCAAATTACTGGGCAAGAATAAGCTAAGAAATGAAACCATATCTATGGCATAAGGCATGGGGCAAGACCAGTTCTTTCCTGCCAACTAAGTGGTGGGATGTGCTGGGTTTGTTGGTGCTGCCAGCACTCCAACACCTCACCCCCACCTCATGGGTACAGCTGGAGGGCTGGCCAGGGGAGGCTGCAGGAGTCGCTGGCAGCAAGAGCAGTGGTTTCCCGCCTTGCGGCCTGCTGCTCCAGCAGCCAGCACACGATGCTCTAAGAAAATGTGGTATATACAGAATGGAATACTATTCAGCAATCAAAAAAGATAAATTCATGCCATTCACAGCAATATGGACTGAGCTAGAAGGGACCATGCTCAGTGAAATAAGCCAGAAGGAAAAAGAAAAATATTGAATGGTTTCACTTATAGGAGGAATATAGGGGAACCAAATAAGGGATCAGGGAAGGAAATAACAACAATAATAATAGAAAAACTAGCAGGCAACCATAAATAAGAGACATTCTGCAAGGGAGGGGGAGGAAAAAGGTTCAAAACAGGGGAGCAAATAGCACAAGATACTATGGTGGTTGTTCATGGGTGAAATGGCAGTGGGAATTTTACAGGGAATACACAATGTAAAAGATATAAATAAAAAGGATATATACACATCTATAACAAAAGCTGTAGCCATGAAGGGAGCTGCTGCCTCTAGGCAGCCCCTCCCCCAGTGCTAGCTGGGTTTGCTGAGCCCCTAAGGCTCTGCCAGCAGTAGCAGGAACTTCCAAAGCCTCTGGGCCCTGCAGCAGGAGGCTATATTCTGGCTACACAGAAGTCCACCTTAGTGGGCTGGGTTTGATGGTCTGCCAAGTGCTAGCCAAGTTTGAACACCAGAGTCCTCCACACCTCAGATTTTGGGCACCCAGCCCCAGATGCATGCTGCCTTTGGGCAGTATGCAGCTAGCAGTGCAAGTGGTTGGGGATGGGGGACATTTTAACACCCACCACGTGTCCCCACTGGGGTCAGGCAGCTGGCAGAGACTGGCAGTGACAGCAAATGCCAGTGGTCCACCTGCCGTGCTGCTCCAGGGTGTGCATCCCCACTGGTCTTGCAAGGTTGTCCTGTGCCAGAGTGAACTCCAGCATAGGAGGCAACAGCGGGCCCCACAGGCCCTCATTGAGGCTTTTGGGAAGAAACATGGGGCCCCAGTGGGCCTGCTCCAACACCACAGCTCTCTGGAGCTGCAGGCAGTAGAGAGACCCATGAGTCCTGGGCTAGGCAGGCTCCCAGCAGATCCCACCTCGTAGCTGCTGAGACCCATGTCCCAGTGCTGCTGTAGGCACCCCCTTTTATGTTGTTACACCCAGCCCTGCAGAATGGGTACCAGATGTAGAGAGCCTCCGGCCCAACTCAGGACAGCTCTGACTCTGTCTCCTTGGAATCTACCAGCCCATGAGGCTGCCCTGAGGTCAGGGCAGGGTGGTCTGCACAGGCACCAAATCTCCCCTTTTATATTGGGCACCTAGGTAGTAGAATGGACCAATCAATTGTGAGCTGAATGAACTAATCAGACTCAAACCCATCTCATTAGTTGATTATTCAGATTGAAAATTAAGAATGAGCTGATTGGTGCTACATGGTTCAATCAGGCCTAATGGGTAGGGGACCCTAAAAGAGGATGTAAAGCAGGGCAGAAGCCAGACAAGTAATTCTGTTCTTGGCCACTGAAGAAAGTGGGATCAGCAGGTGACCTCCAGAGAAAGAAGAGAAGCCCAAGAGGCCAGGCCTCTGCACCTGCCTCCAGCCCTGCCTCTGACGTGCTGACAGTGCCTGAAAGGAGCTCCATAGGCCTTGGCCTGGTGCCTCAAAGATCTGTTTGTTGTTGGTAAAGGCCAACAACTCACAATGAGTTGTTAACACTGGTATTGCTGTCATCACCTCCTAGTGACCAGTCATGACCAGCACTACTGGTCTATGCTATCCAGGACTATTGTGTCTGGGTCACCCCTGAGAGCTGACCACTGCTTCTGAGCACTCAGCATTGCCTCCCAATGCTGTTGCTTCCATTGCTGTGTGCTCCAGCTTCCAGTACTGTCCATCCCAACCTCCTGACCATAAGTGGGGGCTGTTGCAGTGTCATCTCAGCAACCCCGGCGGGGAGCACCTCCAGCTGCCATTGTGAACTAGGTCCTGGCCCACTGCTTGCCAATGTGCCACAAGCTCCAGGCCCTCATTGATGGGACAGCACCATCTTGAATGAGTGGCCATTTGTGTGGGACTCTTAGATACCATGGACACCATCTAGGGACAGATAGCTGGAGACTTGTGACCTGAGAAACTCATTGTTCCCCTGTCTATTAAATAACCCCCACTGTTTTTGTTCCCTGATCCTGAGTGGTCTTGCAATTGTGCATGTGGATGAGAAGCCATAGACAATGACCTGTCCTCTACAGTGGCACTGTCATTTGACCGCAGTAGAACCTCTATTGCACTGTTTCAGAATGATTTCGCCTGTAAAAACTACTAAGAGTAGTTTTTACAATATTTAATGATTGAACAAAAATCAAAAGAAGAATAATGTTTTGTGATACATGAGAAATATATGAAATTCAAGTTTCAGTGTCTATAACTGTTGGGCTACAATCATCCCCATTTTGTTTTGTTGGGCTACAGTCATCCCCATTTCCTTACATATTGTCTGCTTTTGTGCTACAATGGCAGCGATGAGTAGATGTGGATGAGAGAGTAAT